ACCAAAAGCAGTAGAAGACAGGAAATAATTAAAATCAGAGCTGAAAACAATAAAATTGAAACAAAAGAAACAATTCAAAAAATGAAAAGTTGGTTCTTTGAAAAAATAAATAAAATTGATAAACCCTTTGCTACACTAATGAAGAGAAAGGGAGAGAAAACTCAAATTACTAAAATTCATAATGAAAAAGGAAATGTCATAATGGGCATTACCGAAATATAGAAGATAATTAGAAACTATTTTAAAAATTTATACTCTAATGAAATAGAAAATCTCAAACATATCAACAAATTTCTTTTTAAAAAAATATTTATTTTTTAGTTTTAAGTGGACACAATACCTTTATTTATATTTATGTGGTGCTGAGGATTGAACCCAGTGCCTCATGCATGCTAGGTGAGCGCTCTACCACTGAGCCACAACCCCAGCCCCCATCAACAAATTTCTAGAGACTTATGATCTACCTAAATTGAATCAGGAGGACATAAGATATTTAAACAAATCAATTTCAAGCAATGAAATAGAAGACATCATTAAAGGCCTACCTACAAAGAAAAGCCCAGGACCAGATGTATTCTCAGCTGAGTTCTACAAGACCTTCAAAGAAGAATCAACACCAATACTCCTCAAAATTTTCTATGAAATTGAAAAGGAGGGAACCCTTCCAAGCTCATTCTATGAAGCTAGTATTACCCCGATACCAAAACCAGACAAAGACACATCAAGGAAAGAACACTTCAGACTAATATCCCTGATGAACATAGACACAAAAATTCTCAATAAAATTCTGGCAAATTGCATACAAAAACATTTTGAAAAGATAGTGTACCATGATCAAGAAGGGGTCATCCTAGGGATGCAAGGTTGGTCCATATATGGAAATCAAAAAAGGAACTCATCATATCAATAAATTACAGACAAGAATTATACGATCATCTTAATAGATGCAGAAAAAGCATTTGACAGAATTCAGCATCTCTTCATGTTTAAAACACTAGAAAAACTAGGGATAATAGGAACATACCTCAACATTGTAAAAGCTATCTATGCTAAGCCCCAGGCCAACATCACTCTAAATGGAGAGAAATTGAAGGCACTCCCTCTAAAAACTGGAACAAGATAAGGATGCCCTCTTTCACCACTTCTATTCAACATAGTCCTTGAAACTCTAGCCAGAGCAATTAGACAGAAGAAAGAAATTAAAGGACTATGAATAGGAAAAAAAGAACTCAAACTATCACTATTTGCTGATGACATTATTATATATTTAGAAGATCAAAAAATTCCACCAGAAAACTAATAGAACTAATAAACGAATTCAGCAAAGTAGCAGGATATAAAATCAATACACATAAATCAAATGCATTTCTATACATTAGTGCTGAATCTACTGAAAGAGAAATTAGGAAACCTACCCCACTCACAATAGCCAAAAAAAAAAAAAAAACCATAAAATAAAGTTTTTGGGAATCAATGTAACAAAAGCTATGAAAGATCTCTACAATGAAAACCATAGAACACTAATGAAAGAAACTGAAGAAGACCTGAGAAGATGGAAAGATCTGCCATGCTCTTAGATAGGCAGAATTAATGTTGTCAAAATGACCACACTACCAAAAGTGTTATACAGATTTAATGCAATTCCCATTAAAATCCCAAATGATGTTCTTCATAGAACTAGAAAAAGCAATCATGAAATTCATTTGGAAAAATAAGAGGCCCAGAATACCCAAAGCAATGCTTAGCAAGAAGAGTGAAGCAGGAGATATCACAATACCAGACCTTAAATTATGCTACAGAGCAATAGTAATAAAAATGGCATATATTGGTACCAAAATACACATGTAGACCAATGGCATAGAATAGAAGACACAGAGCCAAACCCATATACATACAGTTATCTCATACTAGACAGAGGTGCCAAAAACATATATTGGAGAAAAGACAGTCTCTTCAACAAATGGTGCTGGGAAAACTGGAAATCCATATGTAGCAAAATGAAATTGAATCTCTCTCTCTCACCCTGCACAAAAATCAAGTCAAAGTGGATCAAAGACTCAGGCACTAGAACAGAGACTCTGAGCCAAATAGAAGAAAAAGTAGGTCCAAATCTTTATCATGTCAGCTTAAGACCTGAATTCCTTAACAAGACTCCTAAAAACAAGAAATAATCAAGAATCAATAAATGGGATAGATTCAAATTAAAAAAACTTCTTCTCAGCAAAGGAACAATCAATAACATGAAGAGAGAGCCTACAGAATGGGAGAAAATCTTTACCACATGTACCTCAGAGCACTAATCTCCAGGATATATAAAGAACTCAAAAAAAAACTTAACACCAAAAAACCAAAGAACCCAATTAATAAATGGGCAAAAAACCTGAAGAGACACTTCACAGAAGAAGAAATATAATTGATTAACAAATATATGCAAAAATGTTCAACATCTCTAGCAATTAGAGAAATGCAAATCAAAACTACTCTAAGATTTCATCTCATTTCAGCCAGACTGGCAATTATCAAGAATAAAAGCAATAATAACAGTTGGTGAGTATGTGGGGAAAAGGCACACTCGTTCATTGTTGGTGGGACTGCAAATTGGTGCAACCACTCAGGAAAGCAGTATGGAGATTCCTCAGAAAATCTGGATGGAACTACCATTTGACCCAGCTATCTCACTCCTCGGTTTATACCCAAAGGACTTAAAATCAGCCTACTACAGTGATGCGGCCACATCAGTGTTTATAGCAGCTCAATTCATAATAGCTAAACTATGGAACCAAACTAGATACCTTGCAACAGATGCATGAATAAAGAAAATGTGGTGTATATATACAGCCTTAAATAAAATGAAATTATGGCATTTGCAGGTAGAAGGATGGAGTTGGAAAATATCATGCTAAGCAAAACGAACCAAACCTCCCCAAACCAAAGGCTGAATGTTTTCTCTGATAAGTGAATGCTGATCCATAATAGGCGGGTTGGGGGGCTTTAGAAAAGATTGAAGGAACTTTGGATTGTACAGAGGGGAGTGAAGGGAGGGGAGGCGTGGGGATGGGATGGACGGTGGAATGAGATGGACATAATTACCATATATATATATATATATATATATATATATATATATATATATATATAATTGCACAATGACTGTGACTCTGCATCATGTATAGCCAAAGGAATGAGAAGTTGTGCTCCATTTGTGTACAACATATCAAAATGTATTCTACTGTCATGTATAACCAATTAGAACAAATTTAAACAAATAAATATATTTAAAGTAAAAATTTAAGAATTAAAAATAAAAGAATACAAAACAAAACTGAAGTATACTAATTAAACATGTTAATCCTCATTAAACTGGTCCATGAAAAATAACTGGCTTCAAAAATGCTAGAAATGACCAAAAAATATGAATAAGTATAAGTGTCCCTGAACCATTTTGGTCACAATGAAACAGAGAAAAGAAGTCTCAATTGAAAAGTTTAAGAATTGTTTCCACTGGAGTCCAAAAAATTCTCAGTTTGCTTCTCATCATTAGGTTGGGTGGTCTGGAGTGGGATGCTTTCTCCACCTGCAGAGTGGGGTTGCTAGAGTGAGAGAGGTAATAATGTAAGCTGTAATCCTGGAGGCAAGGTTTAGGCTTAGGCAGGCTCCAGGTTCTTTGCTGAATGCCAGTTGGGCTGGAGATTTTAAATCAGAACAGAGCACCTCTAGGTCCTAGCAATTGCTGGTCCATGCTGGAAGACTGCACCCCAAGGGATCTCTCCTGGTTCCAATCATGTGGTGGAGGAGCCAATTTCTACTCCAGTCCATCATCTGCAGACCCTAAGTTTCCGTTCTCAGGTTAGTCTCCATTACTCCCAGTCCCTCCACTTTGAATTCCTGACCAGGCATGTCCTTCCTAGAGGGTCCTACTACCAGCTGGATTGGAGGAGGAGGGGGAGAGCTGGGTGGGTTTCTTTCACCACTATTGCCCTATGTAAATGCCTCTCCATGTTTGATTTTCTCCTGGTCACTTAGGCACACTCTATGTTGTGCAGTGTGTGTTTGCCAGGCCTGTATTTTGGGCCAATCTCGAATTCACTAGGAATCAGCTCCCACAGCTGCCGGCCCTCATGCTGCAGCTGCAAAACGTTCCTTCCTCTGTGCTCCACACAGAGCCAGGAGAGATGCAGCTTCTTTCCTGCACAAAGATATTGTGCAGCTAGCCTTTCAGATTCATCGGGCAGTGTCTTTGATCTCTAAACACTCCATGCCCAGAAACACTTTAGGTCTTCTAAAAATGTGGGCTCCTTTAATCCCCTTATCTCTACAATTTGCTCTGTAAAGGAACCATTCTGGCTGATGAATCCAATAGGGGCAGTCTGGTAGTGTTGGGTATTTCTTCCTTATTTTTATCATCTCCAACTTCCTGAGTCCCTGATTTACTTTGTCCAGTATTAAATTCTCCCTTATTTTTGTTCACCCACCTGCTAATGAGCTGCCTATCTGCTTTCTTGGATTCATGCCTTGGAGGAGCCAGGAAAGAAAACTTCTCTATTCTGTGATCTTGAAAGCTAAGTGCCCAACATTCATTCTTCATTGATGTTTCAGCCCAGACTAGACCACTGAAACTCCTGTTAAGAAGCTCCTAAACTTGCTGTCAGATTTGCAGACATGACTAGGTCTTCATTGTCCATACTCCCCGAGCAGGATTCAACAGAGGTGGCCTGGTCCATTTGAAAACACATTTTGTTTGGCTCCAGTGAAACTACTCTTACCTGATTTTTCTTCCCTACTACTGGGCACTTCTTCCTAGTGTCCTTTTCTGCCACCTCCTTCTAAATTCCAGAATTTATCCCTCCACCCAGTCCCTTCTCATCTTTGATGTGATTTTATACACTTTATAGCTAATGATTCCCAAATCCTAATCTCCATCCTGGGCCTCTGTTCCCCTTACCCATTCCCGGGATCCACTCGACTGGCTCGTACGGTTCCTGTGGAGAGGAACATGCCCTAAGACTCTGCCTTCAGAAATTATTTCTATTATTCGTTCCTGGAGAAATTTCTCTGACCTTGTAGAGTACTGGAACCATGATGAAAGGGTCCAGAGTTCCCTCCTGAGGGTGAAGGTAGCTCTTGGTGTTGCTTTACTACAAACGTTTTTTGGCCATTTACGTCATTTCTTCTCTCCTATATTTTGGGAAGGTAAGAAGAGGGAAATGCTTCTGAGATATTTCCACTCACACAAAAAAAGGACAGTATCATGACTGTCCTTTCTAGAGTATACCTCATTCCCACCAGTATGATTTTTTAAACGGTCCTATATTAATGTCACATGGCACCTACTACAAATTGCAGGGTTTTGTGTGTGTGTGTTTCTCCTTGTAAAATGAAAGCACCAAGGAAGAAATGTCTCCGTCTTTCATGTTCAGTATTGTAGCCCCTCTCCTAGGAGAGTATTTGTCCAATGGGGGGGGTTTTGAATGCATTAAGGCAAGAAGGAAGGGAGGGAGGGAAGCGCTGGGAACCACTGCAGCCTCGCCAGGGAGTTGCTGTGTGACCTAGGACAAGCCACACTTATTTCCATGGTTACTGGTTGGATGTGTAAACACCTCTTCCTAGCTTACTGACATCTTAAGGGAATCAGATGATGTTGCTATAAAGGTTAAGGTTTTCTAGGATGTGTTCCTAACTAAATGTTGCAAATCTCCAGATTAAACCCCAAGGATCTTAACTTTCTTTAAAGGACTCCCCTGCCCGTAGACCAAGTTATCTGAGAACAGGTATCAGTTCACTCATTTCAGCAGACCATCTGCCCCTCCCCACCCTCCTGTGTCTTTCTCTCCTCTCACCATCTAGTGGCCCTGCCAGTGTCCCAGGGGCTGGGCCTCATTTTCAGATGGACTCTGTTGTTAGTAGCAGCACAATTTTCTCTCTTCCTCCATTTTCCATTTGTCTCACCTGAGGACTCTCCACCATGAAGACACAGGAATGGTCTATAACTGTGAAGAGGTGAACAGCAGGGACCAAAATTATAGGAGCCCAGAGGATGCCTTGTGTGGGATGGATACACTTGAGGAACATGCTGGTCCTGACTCATACAGGAATGGAACTGAAGTGGCTCCATATCAGGACTAGGTGAATAGCCAGGTGCCCTGGTGCCACCTGTCATCCAGGTACCGGAAGGCTGAGGCAAGAGAATCCGACTTCCTGGCCGGCCTTGACAACTCAGAAAGACCCAGTCTCAAAGCAAATATAAAAGATCCAGCCTGGGGATTTCACTCAATGGTAGAGCCCTTGTTCATCATATTGAGTCCTTGAGTTCAATTCCCAGCACAGAAGGAAGGAAGGAAGGAAGGAAGGAAGGAAGGAAGGAAGGAAGGAAGGAAGGAAAAGTAGGTTATTCTTCCTTCTTTTTTGGGAGTACTGATCACTGAACCCAGGGGCACTTAAACACCGAGTCACAACCCAAGCCTTCCTATTTATTATTCATTTTGAGACAAGCCCCAATAAATGGCTTAAGGCCTCACTAAATTTTTGAGGCTGGCCTTGAATTTGCATTACTCCTGCCTCAGCCTCTCAGGTCACTTGGGTTTACAGACAGCTGTCTCTACACCTGGCTACTTTACTATGGCTTGAACCCAGGGATGCTTAACCACTGAGCCACATCCCATGCCCTTTTTAATATTTTATTTAGAGACAGGGTCTTACCATGTTACTTAAGGCCTCACAAAGTGCTGAGGCTGGCTTTGAACTCCTGATCATCCCATCTCAGCTTCCCAACCCGCTGGGATTATAGGCATGCACCATCAAACACAGCTCCTTTTTGATGTCTTCATGCACATATCATCACCTCTCAACATTGTCCAGGGCTCTGAGGTCATTCTCAGGAAGGAGTCTGTACTAATTGTTCCTATAAATATTAAACAGGTGCCTCCCTTAATCTCCACAGCATTTACTAATCTACAGAAGTTGCTTTTTCTTTTGGGAGTCTGTTCTGAGGACCTTGCACCTGCTCAGCACCTGCTCCACTGCTGAGCCACACCCCACCTCCTATAACACAACATGCCATTGACACTAAAATGTATTAGGTTTTATCTTTGTTTACCATTCCCGAGCTTCCCCATTAGAGAAACATCTCTGAGATAATTAGCTCGTGGAGAATCCAGGTTGATTTTGACAATGGTTTCAGAGGTTCTAGGCCATCCTCAGTTAGCCTTGTTGCTTTGGAGTTCATGGAGAGGCAGCAAATACTGGCAGGATTACAATGTGGGAGAAAACCACTCACTCCATGGCTGGGAAGCAGAGAGAGCAAGAACAGGCCAGGGTCCCACTGACCCCTTCAAGGACATGTTCCTAACAACCAAAGTCCTTCCATGAGGTGCCACCTCTTTAAGATTGAAGCACATCCTAAAAACACCTCTCTGAGGATCAAGGCTTTAGCACAGAGGGCTTTGGTGACACTCAGTGTCCACACTGTAGCACAGCCCTCTGGAACATGTTCACTGTTCCTACCTCCCCTCCTCCATTGGAGTATAAGCCCCAAGAAGGCAGGAGGCCCGCCCCAAGAAGGCAGGAGGCCCGCCCCACCTACCGTAGGCCCTCCTGGAGCATGAGCCCAGAGACTCCTGCATGCCAGGCAAGCACTGCAGCACTGAGCTGCACCCCCAGCCTGAGGACGGGATTTCTGTCTGCTTTGGACATTGGTGTTTCTGAGCATCTGTAATGGGGCATATCAGCAGATGGGGAGGGGGTGAACAGAGGAATTAGGTCAGTCACACTGGGACATTATACTATGGTAATTTGTGAGCACAAGTTAGGTTGAGTGAGGTCATTTTGGCCACACAGATGGGTGGGAGGCCTCCCTGGGGCCATGGCTGGGCTCAAGTCCTTGGCCTTGTAGGCCAGGAAGGCCAATGACCTGCATGTGCAACCCAGGTCAGCCTGACCAGCTCCTCAGGCTGGAGCTCACACTAATGACTCAGGGTCAGCGACTGCAGGCCAGAAACACTCTGGGACCTGCCTTACTGTGTTGGCCTCAGAACCTATGGAGGAAAGTGACATAGAGGAAGGGGAGCCCAGGGCTGGCCCATTCTCTTCTCCAAGAGAAGAGGGGGCTGGTCTCTCTGACACTGGCTCTTATCTCTTCCTCATTACTGCATGTGGGTGCCCCAGGGAGCAGCCTGAGAGGGACTTTAGAGATAGGGTGTCTGCTGCAGTGGGCCTGGGGAGGGGCAGGGAGAGGCCCAGGCAGAGGGGCCACTGCCTTACAGACCTCAGCTGACCCCACAGGGAGCTCTGGAGTTGAAATGCCCCTTCAGAGCAGAGGTGTCTTGTATTTGGGCCCAAATGGACCAGCCACTGGGTGTGGTCACCAGGAAGGGTGTGACCCTGGGCCAGGTTGCTCTGTGCCTCATTCCTAGCTGCTGGTTGTCAAGCACTTTGGGAAAAGGGAGTCTAGGGAGTCCCTCTCTTTTCCTGTTCTTAGGATTGAATAGCACTCTTTCCATGGAGCCTGTCTAGATATAAATTTCTCTTTCATTTTGAGAAATTTGCTTCCAGTGCATTTGGTGCATAAACTAGCAGGTGGACTCTTCTAGATGCATAGCATTGCTCCTGTCAAGGGCTCCCAAACTTCTGTGAGAAGGATCTGGGGGCCTGGGGTAGGCAGAGGTCCTGGACTTCCACCTCTGTGTCGCCTGTGGTACCTACCCTTCCAACACTCCCCTTAGCACACCTTTGTTGCAGCCACAGGCCTGGAGCACTGCAGGGGCTCCTCTTCCCCAAAGGCTTCAGGCTCTGCAGTCAGGGCAAAGTCAGAAAGTCTCATCATTTGTTGACCCAGTGCAGCAATTCCATGGCGCTGGAGTCACAGGCCACTGTTTCCTGGAGTCAGACTATAGACCTGAGGCAGTACCTTGACTTCTCTATGTACTGGGATAGGCCCTGTGGAGATGGATGCGGATGAGCATGATCAGGGAGGCGGTGGGGAAAGTGTGGGCACCCGGGAGCGGCACAGACTGGGGTTCCGACTCAGGAGTGCAGCTGATACCATGGGACTGAGGTCCTTGGGCCAGGTGGATCTGGAGAGCACTCAAGGGTAGGTGCAAAATGGACTGAACACTTCTGTTTTCAAGTGATTGAAGACCAGCTCTCAGTAACAGCCCCCAGCATCCTCACCTTCAGTTGTGGAATGGGTCTCCCTGGGCTATGACAGAGGGACACCTTCCTCTTCAACAATGAAGCCACCACTGATGTACCCTCCTCTGTCATCTGCCCACCAGACCCCTATTGCACTTCCCATTACCCCATTATTCAAACCTCTTCCCTAGGCCCTGGTAGAGGGCCCCTGACCATAGGCAGAGCACACACAAGCCTTTTCTCCCACTCTGGCCTTGACCTTGCAACCCAACACCAACCGAGCCAACCTTACTTAGGTCCATGATCCAATACTCACTCTGCTAGGTCCCCCAAATGGGTTCCAGGGCCCAGAACCCTGGGGAGGACAGGCACCTGTGGGGCCTGAGACCATCAGAGGAGCCAGGCACACAATAGGGAGGCTGTAGGGGTTGCCCACATGCCCACTCTCACATATCCCACAGCCCCACATGGAGCCCCTGTAAACCTCAGCAGAACTGAGCTGGGGATCAGACTTCCTTCAGCTCTGCCACAGCTGGCATAAAAAGGAATTGGCTGGACACACAGTAGAAGAGAATTGGGTTAGGTACCTAGCAGAGCTTCCTTGCAGGATGCTTGGGTTGTCCTCCTGCTCAGGCCAGCTTGGATCAGTAGGCCTCTGTGTTTGGGGACAGATACCTGTGGCTGAGAGCAGTTGATGCTGGGTGGGGAAGGCCTGGAATTGCAGATGGGACAGAACCTCCTATCCTCTAGCTAGTCCAGAGGAGAGGACCTAACAGGGCCAACACACCCTCCCTACTGCATTCTTCCTGATCCAAACCCAAGCCAGTTACTAGTGAAGTATCTTTCACCTCTCTCCATCCCCTGGTTAGATGGGGTCAGTGTCCAACAGCACCTTCTGCTTCTTAAGACTGGTTTCTCCCAAGCATTCTCTCCTCCTAGGCCCTGCCAGTACTTGGGCACTCATCACAACAGGCAGCCCCAAGATGGGCCACAGTGGTACCTGACTCCTCTGCATTCTCACTCATGGCTGTTTTGGCACACTTTGGGTAGTATGTGGGTTGCTACGCAGAGGTGAAGGCCAGTAGACCAAGGA